CCCCCTCCCCCCCCTTACTTTTCTGTCCTTAAGCCAGACAATCGCCTCGAAATCTGGGGGGCCCCCCTCGCCTTCTCCAGCACCCCTGGTTCTCCAAACCTTGCTGGCATATATATATATATATATATTCTTTTCTCTTTTTTTTGCACCCCCCCCTCCATTCCCCCACCCTTTTTCTTCTCCTATATATATTTTTTATTTTATTTTTTGAGAGAGAGAGGGAGGGGGGAAAAAAAAGCAACAACGAGAGAGAGAAACAAACTGCTTGCAAAGCTGAGCTGAAAGCCAAGCAAACAAACTTTAACAAATAAAGGGGGAACAGGAAGTTTGGAAGCGGTGTCCAATAGATATGGCAATGGTAGTTGGTACGTGGCGAGACCCCCAGGACGATGTACCCGGAGCTCAGGGAACACAGCCTTCTCAAGCCCCGCCCCTGCAAGGACCTCCAGCCGGGGCCCCTCACACACCACAGACCCCGGTTCAAGGAGGGCCTCCTCCCAGCACTCCAGTCCAGACCAACCAGCCAAGCCAGCAGAGCACAGGAGAAAAGCAGCAGCAGCAGCAGCACATTGAATGTGTGGTTTGTGGGGACAAGTCTAGTGGCAAACATTATGGCCAATTTACCTGCGAAGGGTGCAAGAGTTTCTTCAAGAGGAGTGTAAGGAGGAACCTGAGCTATACTTGCCGTGCCAACAGGAACTGTCCGATTGACCAGCACCACCGCAATCAGTGTCAGTACTGCCGCCTCAAAAAATGCCTCAAAGTTGGCATGAGACGGGAAGGTATTGGGATTTCATTTGTTTTCCAGTTGTCACTCGCTGCATAGTTGTTTGCCTTGTAAAAAAAAAAAAAAAAAAAGCAAAACAAATGTATTTCTTTGCTATGATAGATAGATAGATATTCTATTTTAAGAAGGGGGGGAAGGAGGGAAAAAAAAAAAAAAGATCCCACCCTAAGCAGAAGTGAGACGAACTTTGCGTGGCTGCAGACGGGGAGGGGGTGCGGGTGCGGGGCCAGGGGGTGCCTCCCTGCCCTGGCCAGGGGGCTGTGTCGGTGGGGTCTGGTTATGGGAAGGGGATGCTGAGTTTCCCGCTGCTGAAGGAGGGAAATGTGGATTCTGACTTGGAGTTACTTTTTCACCACCCCCCTGCCGCCTCCTGCATGCTCCCGGCTCGGGGTGTGCATGTGTGTGGATGTGTCTGTAGACGACCCCCCTTGATCCCCCCACCCTTATTGCAATATTCCCCGGGAGCTTTGGTTCCTGCAGCAGGGCAACTCGCATCCCTGCAGCCCTCCACTCTGGCAGGGGTTGTTATTATGATGATTCTTATTTTTTTTTTAAAAGATCCGCCTGTCTTTTTTTCCCCTTTCTACTATGCTTAAGCTTTCACGTGTATTTTTCCTCCCGGGAAGAGAAGCAGAGTGACCCAGGGCCGGGAGTGGGAGGCAGCAAACAAGTGACTGTGGGTTTTATGGGGTTTTTTTGTTTGGTTGGTTGTTGTTTTTTTTTTATCCGAGCAAGTCGAGTCTTTGTGATATAAAATTAGACGAGAAATGTGAGCCTCTAGTTTTCCAATGGCGTGTTGTGTGTCTGGACGCTGCTATGTAGGTTAAGGGTTAGGGGACTCGGGACTGCCTGGCTTCTTCTTCTTCTTCTTCTTCTTTTTCTCCCCCCTTTTGTGTTTCTGCAAGAGTAACTAACCTTGTAATACTGAAATAACAAAGATAAATCAAGCCCGTTGGAGCGCCTCTCGCTTCTTGCTGCATCTCTGTCTCTCGGCCCCTTTTCTTTCTCCTTTTCTCTCGCTGTCACCATGTAAATTTATTAGCAAAATGAAAGGCCCACTTTCCAGGAGCAGCTGAGGAAGGTGCCTTGAAAGACCCCGGCTCAGCCTCTCCTGGAGCCCCGCGTGTGTCTGTTGCGATGCGATTTTGTGCGTGTGTGTGTCCCTATTTTCTTTTCTTTTTTTTTTTTTCTTCAATTTAAAGGATGACCCCCCCTCCCCCCCTTTCCGTGGACGCGGGCTGGGACCAGCGCTGTGTTATTTTGCTGCCATCAGAGTATGTGCACCGTCCCGGCCTCAAATCAATCAGCAATATCAGCTGTTCAGCTGGAATAAAGACACACACACACATGCACACACACACACAAAGACACATGCACCCCTCCCCACCCCCCCAAATAATCGCCTTCTTGTGTGTTTAGGATCTGAGGATGTGGTAGTGCCCTTAATGCAGTGCAGAGCTGCAGCCTTTAGGCAAGTATTACAGCAATGCTCAGCTTTTATTGTTGCTTTTACTTCACCCGGGAACGCCGGAGCCAGGCTGAGCTGTGCCTGGCCATCGCATGTTCCCCTTTAGCTGACTTTTCACCGCACACAAAAGCAGCCTTGATTTTTTTTCCTGATAATGATGATGATGATGATGACGATGATTTTTGAGCCGATGGTAGCAATTCAGATATTAATAGCTGTAGTTTCTTCTTTATTTACTGCAGCCGTCCAGAGGGGCAGAATGCCACCCACACAGCCAACTCATGGGCAGTTCGCCTTGACAAATGGGGACCCTCTCAACTGCCATTCCTACCTATCCGGATATATCTCCCTTCTTCTGAGAGCAGAGCCCTACCCGACCTCCCGCTTTGGCAGTCAATGCATGCAACCCAACAACATCATGGGCATCGAGAACATTTGTGAACTGGCAGCTAGGATGCTCTTCAGCGCGGTGGAGTGGGCCAGGAATATCCCCTTCTTCCCAGACCTCCAGATCACAGACCAGGTGGCCCTGCTCAGGCTGACCTGGAGTGAGTTGTTTGTGCTCAACGCTGCCCAGTGCTCCATGCCCCTCCACGTAGCTCCTCTCCTGGCCGCCGCTGGGCTCCACGCTTCGCCAATGTCTGCTGACCGAGTGGTCGCCTTTATGGACCACATACGAATCTTCCAAGAGCAAGTAGAAAAACTGAAAGCATTGCATGTCGACTCTGCAGAATATAGCTGTTTAAAGGCCATAGTCCTCTTCACCTCAGGTAGGCAGCCTTTATATTTGCCCTTCCCTCCTTGCCCCCTTCCCCATCCCCATCCCCCTTATTTTATTTTTTAATTCTGGTCCCTCTTTGCAAAGTGCTACAGACTTGGGGACCCCACCAGCGCCAACTGCTGCATGCCTCCGGTTCAAAATCAGCACTGACATGTGTCCTCCCAGGGCAGGCCTCTGTTGTGAGCACCCTAGTTTTAGCCAGAGAGGGAGTGTGTGTTGGTGGGGGGGGGAGGAAGGCTGGTGAGAATCCATCAGGCATGCAAGCCTGTGCTTTTCCCATTGCAAATAATATTTTATTTAACAGGATAGCTCTGGGTTGTTGCATTTAATGACACCAAGCCTGAACAGCAGCAGCAGGGGAAAAAAATAGCTGTTTGATGTTGTTAAATACCAGTCCCTCCTATCAGGGAACCTACTTTAAAAAGAGGATCGTTTTTATGGGTAGCCAGGAACGGCAAGAAAAGAAAAGAAAAAAGCAAAAGGGGGCTAAAAAAGCCCCGCAGGATTAAAAAATGGAATTAGAAAAATCAAGTTGTGTGTGCAAAGCTGAGTTTAAAATATGTTCCCAGCCATGCCATAAAATCAAATAAATCAACTTTCCACAGGGCTGTCTCTGAATTAAACAGAATGTGGCAATGAGCAGTTCTGAATCATTTAGTCTAAAAGGAGGGAAGTTTGCATTTATACCCAGCAGGAGCTGCATAGTCCAAAGTGAGTAGCGGTTTGGAAAAGATAATCACTCCAATAAGTATCCAGTCCTCATATGAAAAAGTAACAGGAGAAGATACTTAGCAGCCGCTTCAAAATGTAATTCTGTGGTTAGACAGCTCTGCCTCTCCCGGAGAACCCAGTTAAAAGCAGTAAGGTGTCTCTTTAGATAATTAAAAGTGTGGGGGGGAAATATATGTGCCAACTTTGGCTGCATATTAATAGTGCATGAGTTATAAAAACAATAATTGAGTGCATTGTGAAATCTAATTAGTTTGCACCGTAGTTTAACCTGCGTGAGTAATAAACCTGATATTAGCTCTGGAGGCTAAATATGTTTTTCGCCAAAAAAGAAAATACTTGCTTTCTAATGTATGCCATGCTTCAGCTCAGGCTGCTATCTTTGAGGCGGCATCCGGTGGCAAACTGTGTTGGACCCCTAGAAGTTGTGCAGTCAGGTTTATTTATTATTCCCCCCTCCCCTTGAAATGATTCCTTGTGTAACTCCTTGGAAAGCTTGGGAAAGTGGCCACGCGATAAACATATGAATGGAAGCAGGACCTGTAAAATAATTACTCATCGGAGTTTTTTAAAAGCCTGATATCAGGAAACAGAGACGGAGGGAAATGTGGTGGATGGGAGAACTCACAATCCAGTCCTTGTTGTGTTAAAGGGGGGTCTGGGGAACCAAGTCATTTTCTGGACCTTGTCCAGGTTCTGGGTCGTGACCTAAACTTCCTTTTATATATTATTGCTTTACACATAAAAACTCCCCCCCCTCCTTTTTTTCCCCCCAAATTACTTGTGCTAAAGTCCTAAGGTGATCAATTAGCAGGGAGCATCAGCCCAAGCAGGAGCTGAGTGGGGCCGCTTGGATGTGAGGCGCTGATTTTATTTTGCTGTCATTTACCAAGGGAGGCATTTTTCTTCGCCTCTTGCTCCCATTTCCAACACACACAAACAGAGCCCGGACCCAAGACACCCACCCAGCCGGAGGAGTCTTATTTCCAAACCTGGAGAGCTGCAGATCACTTCTTTTTTTTTCTTTCTTCCTTTTTTTTTTTTTTTTTTTTGAGGCTTTCTAGACAACAATCGTCCCAGACTGTCGTAACTGTTTAATTTATTGCTAGTTGCAAAATGTGAAGCCTGGCATGCAAATCGCCTCCCCACTAGATAAATGTTGCTGTTATCTGGTTCTGAGCGAGATACACACATAGAGAAAATAGATGTCTAGAAAGGGGGTTGCGTGCAACTTTCCAGCACCCCAGTAACGCGCCCTGATGGAAAGCAGACACCCAGGGATGCATATGATGTTTGCTGCTGCCTTTTTTCTCCCCTTTTTTTTTTAAATCTGAGTTCTAATGACTCGCAGAATATGCATGTGTTAGTCCTGTGCCTAGGAAGCCACAGGGAGGTCAGGTCACAACCTGGGCTCTTTCAGCACAGACGTCTCCGATTTAAAGGGAACTTATTGTATTTTAGCGAATGGAGAGGGGGTAATGTTCAGAGCCTATCAGGGAGTTTTGTTTTTGGGGTTCTTTTTTTTAAACTCGTAGGGGCCTTTGGGGTTTAAAAATAAAGGAGGAGAAGAAGGGAGAGGGGAATGGAAGGGAAAGGAGAGAGAGAAAGAGGAAAAAGAAAGAAAAGAAAAGCAGGGGGAAAGAAACAGCTCAGATGAACAGAGAGATCACAGTTTGCATGGCTGCCTCTGAATAGGCTAAACTGACAAGATCAGTTTTAAAAGGCCACTTAAATCAGTTTCAAAGGCCGGAGGAAAACGCGTTGTCTCTTTTGGGGGAGACGTGCTAGCTGGGTCCGGGGCGCCCTGCTCTCTGGCCGGGCCAGGGCTTGGCTGGTCGGGATTTGGGGGAGGGGGGTGGACAATATTTTGAGGATCCTGGTTTCTTCTTTCTACCCCTTTGATCCGATTTCTTTCCCGAGTGGGGTAGAAAGAGTGGTTGATCCCATCTCTGCCTTCAACCTTTGCAAGGGGGAAAAAAATATGCCTCTCCCCACCCCCCCACCCCTTCCTCCCCCCTCCCATCTCAGTGTCAACCCTTCAGGTCTCTAGCGCAATTAAAGACCTCAGATCTTGGAGCTGTGTTTAATTCTAAAGCAGACCCTCCGGATACACACATCTCTATTTTCTCTTTGGCTAAAACATGCTTAGCTCTAAGGGAGGGGGAGGGAGGGAGGGAGGGCGGTGGGGGGGACTCCACCGGCTACCAGCTACACTTCATTTTACCAAGAATAATAATTACAATCAAATTCTTTAATCTGATGACTGTTGTTTTTTTTTTTTCTTTTTTTTTTTTAATAAACTTTCTTCTAGATGCCTGTGGTCTCTCTGATGTAGCCCATGTTGAAAGTTTACAGGAGAAGTCACAGTGTGCTTTGGAAGAATATGTTAGGAGTCAGTATCCGAACCAGCCAACACGATTCGGAAAGCTTTTACTACGCCTCCCCTCCCTCCGCACTGTCTCCTCTTCTGTCATAGAGCAGTTGTTTTTCGTCCGTTTGGTAGGTAAAACCCCCATAGAAACCCTAATCAGGGATATGTTACTGTCTGGCAGCAGTTTTAACTGGCCTTATATGTCCATTCAATAAAATAATGGAGAAAAAAAATTAAACTAAAATGAAAATACTTTTTTTTTGTTTGAGAAGGCAGATGAAAGAGAGAGAGAATGACATTTGGGGTCTGGTGGTTTCTTAAATTTCCTTCTGCTAAGAAAGGATATAAAAGGATGTTACAAGTTTTGCTAAAAGAAGACAGGAAAAAAAATAATGGACTGTGAATTAAAAAAAAAAAAAAAGACTGTCATATGAACTTTTACAGAATGCATTAAAAACAACTCCCGTGTCGTTCAGAAAAAAATAACTTGCTACTTATCATTTTTTTTGTAAAAAACAAAAAATTTCAAAAAAAGAAAGAAAAAAAGAAAAAAGAAAAAGAAGAAGAAAGGAGATGAAGGGTGGGTGGCTTTTTTTCTTTTTTTTCTTTTTTCTTTTTCTTTTTGGGGGGGGACTTTTTAAAAAAATATCTCGCTAAAAGTGCATTTAAAGGAAATTTGGAGAAAAATTAGCAGAATGGAAGAAAGTAAGTCTTTTTTTTCCAAATTATTAATTGTCCTATGTGTCTATGTACCTATAGCTGTTCTTTTTTGTATTTTTCTGGTTTCAAACCAGTTTATTCTGTGGTTCTATAATAATTTTTGATATAATCTTGGCTTCTTTAAAAAATGTGTATCCATAAAATATATGTTCTGAAAGAATTAAAACTGAGTCCATGAAAGTATCATAGGAAGAAAGGAAAAGAGAAAACAAAAAACTCAACAACACAATGATGAAAGCGCACTTATGGTGGTGACCCGAAATATTAGCTGGAAGCTGAGAGAGCTATAATTATATAGACCCGAATGAACCACACGTGTCACATAAGTACCCCGAAAACTAGGTTTTTGATATTTCAGACAGAAAATGAACTGTGGGGATTTACTGTAGGTAGAACGGATTGTGTCCAAGACACACTACGGTTTTGATTTAAAAAAAAAAAAAAAACAACCACACAAACAAAGTGAACTTTTGTAATTGGAATTGGGTTCCACATAGTTCTTCATGAATTGTTATGAAACTCCTCTATCTGTTTGTATATTTGCAAGCCCTTTGTATTATAATAATTGTTGATATTTTCCCTTTTTAAAAAATACCATTGAAATCAGCATGACAAAATAACACTGTTGGCACTTATAGATAACGTGATTGATTCAGTATCTTAGAGTTTACAGTTTTGTGTTTAAAAAAAACTGAAGGTTTTTTTTTAAGTGCAACATTTCTGTATACTGTAAAAGTTATAATAACTGAACTGTTTGGTCGAGTCTTTGTGTGTTATATTCCAAGGAAAATTGAAAGTATTCAGAAATTAAAATATTATTTGATATCTGAAACCCGTTTGGCTGTCATACATGTCTTTCAGAAATCACATTACTGCTCTAGAGTTTTGCAGCCCTTTTGAGTCCATAGGCGATTGATTTGTTTACTTGTCACAGTAAGTTTGTAGCAGACGGATTGTAGGGTCTCGTTCCGGGCTGGGGATGGGGGACTTTTTAAGTGCGTGGTTTATCTGTGTTTTTAGGAAGTGCTATGCTGAAATGGTAAACCATCAGCCCCCATTCATCTAATCCTCCTGTTAATTAAAAATGGATTTTCTAGAAAAGGCCCTTATTTTTGTCACACTTAAGTGCCTGCATAGGAAAGGTATTGTTGTGAAAAGTAGTAGAAATCTGGAGCTCAGTACCTATTTTATGATCAGACTGGGGCGGGGGGGGGGGGGGGGGGGGAAAAAAGAAAAATCTTTTGTAAATCTCTGACATACGCGCACAAGATCATTCAAGCAAGGTAATAGCAGTATTGTAAATATAGGTCAGCTGTTTGCAATGAGTTTTCTTTACGTATGTGTGATTTTTATAATACTATGTAGTTGCCTTCTATCGTTGTCATTGAGAGGTCTTCAAATGGAGTGACTTTAGCATCTAGCACTGAGGAGTCTGTTTGTAATGTATATATAATATCCAGTGGATTTTTTTTTTTTACGTTAGACTGTGAAAGCATGACTACAGGTCATCAGCATATTTTACATTGGGGATGTATGTATGTATGAACGTATGTAGACCTGCATCAGTGCTTACATATATATATATATATGCATAGATACATCTTTATTGTACAGACACAGGGCCCTATCTTGCCATCTTTACGCAGGCAAGAGTCCCACAGATTCCCAGTGATTTCAGTGGGAGTCTTGCTTGCCTAAGTCCTACATACAGGAGCGGATACACCATGGGTGTATCTAGTGCTATCCCAAAAATCAAATTTGAAGGAAGGGAAGAGACTAGGCGTGATGATCTGGTTTGAAAAGGGGTTGCTATTTTGTTTTGTGTGTGTGTGTGTGTGTGGTTTCCCCCCCCCCCCCTTTTTTTTTTTTGATTCCATTCGTCTCCAGCAGATGTTTGAAACTGAAATGGCATCCAAACAGATGGTGGGACAAGGCGGTTTGCCTCCAAAATGGTGTCCTCAAGAACACATGAAACACAGGGGTAAAATTAGCCACGGAAACTCCTCCAGCTCCAGGAATGCAGCTGCCCACGCCACGCATGCCTTGGGCTTTTCTCCCCAGGCTTATTTTTGTATGTCATGTTCTAACAGCATACTGGGCTGCATTGGTAGAAGCATTGCCTGCTGATCAAGGGAAGTGATTCTTCCTCTCTTCTGAACTGGGGAGGCGCCATCTGGAGTACTGTGTTCAGTTTTGCACCCCCCCCTCCCCCCTTACAGAAAAGATATGAGCAAATTGGAGGGAGTCTAACAGAGGGCAATTAAAATGGTTTTCCCCCCCCCCCCCTTTTGGTCTCTAGCAGATGCTTTGTATGTGAAAGCTTGCAATTTTGTCCTTGTTCGAGGCTCTCCCCTCCTTTCTACCACACCATGTTGTGGTTTCACGAAAAAAAAAAGAAAAGAAAGAAAAGCAAGATCATTCTGTAAAAAGTCGATGACCCCCCCTGGTCTTTTAGTTGATTCTACTTAGACACATCTATACGGGGGGCAGGGGGGGGTCTCATGTATGACTGTGAATTGCGAGCAGAGTTTTACATCTGAACCACGGCTCTTTTTGATATAAATATATAAATATATATATAAATATATAAATATCCTATTCTTGCAGGGGATCCCCTGACCTTTAGATTCAGTTTTTTTTCCCCCCTATTGCAAGTGCTCTCCATGTGAGTGTGTGTGAAGTTTCTATTCTCACCAAGAACCCAGGATCTTTTCTGGCTTGTTTGTTTTGTGTTAGTTTATTGTAAACAACCATTTGTTGTAAATTGTTATTGGCATTAAATTATAATTTATGATTTTCAAAGCAAAAACATTCTCTGGTTTTTTTGTTTTCCAGCCTGTCAGCCCTATATGTGTGTGCATACACACACACACACACACACACACACACACACACACACACACATATATGTATGTATATTTAAATAGATACATATATATCACTTGAGTTTCTGAAGCAAGCTTTGGTTCACAGGGACTTGAAGAGTAACCAGGAAAGAAAGAAAAAAGCAGGATGGGTTAAACGACAACAACGACTAAGTCTATGTGTTTGGAAGGCTCAGAGGAGGATTTGTTTAGGGACTGGAGTTGGGTTTAAGTTTATAGCATTTAAAGAAAGTTTTTCTTTTCCTGCAAATTCAACTGCGAATATGTCTTATGTTCTAAAAGCACCTAAGTGTGCTTTATTTCCTGTAACAAGCTAGACATACAGATTGCATTAGCACCTACTATGAATTGTAATGTTAAAAAGGCCTGTTTGTTCCAAAATAATATCTCTAGATCTATTTTTTTCCTCTCTCTCTCTCTCTCTCGCTCTCGCTCTCCCCTCTTTCCTTACGGGGGCTTTTCTCTCTCTCTCTCTGAGTGGGCGCGCTCCCCCCCCCCCCCCTCCACCCCTGCTTGGGATGCCAGGGGAAGAGGCGATCGCGATCCACAACAATAGTCCCAAAAGCAGAGGGGCGATGGCAAAACCTTAGCCTCTCGGACGAGGCAAGAGAGGCAGAGGGAGGGAGGGGGCTTTTTTTTTAATTCTTTTTTTTTTCTTTTTTTTTTTTAGGCAGCATCATCAATTCTTCTTCTTCTTCTTTCCCCTCCCTCCCTGCAAACCTTGTAGAGCCAGCAGCCGGGCCGGGGTTGGGGGGAGCTTGATCTGCCAAGTTGAGACAAAGCGGGAGAGGACCCCAGCTCGGGACCGTACGGAGAGGGAGCCCTACCCTGCCCTGCCCTGCCCTG